ATTTTTATTGCGCTCGTTGTTCTCGGACTATGTCAAGTATATGCAACCAAGATAAAGGCAGACAAGAATGCACACATGATAGCGGAGCAAAACCAGCTTGAACAACCGCGTACTTGGACCTTTGTGGTCAGTACAATTACCGTCATCTCTTTTCTGCTGTGGATGGTGATGCGATGTCTGTTTCATTGAAGGACTCACCTCGAAGGAGCCATTAGTATGGTGACTTTTAATACTACATAGTAGTATTTTTTTTAGCAAAAAGTAAAAAAAAAATTCTGCATTGATGTCTCGGTAGTTATTATACTACAGATAAAGAGAAGCTGCAAAGGACATGTCCGCGCCTGAGCTTCTTGCCTCCTTCGTCGAACCTTTTCTCCAGTTCGACGTCACCAATCGAGTGCGCAGCCAGTGTCAGCTGACGCAGCAGCTCTTCTAGTCGACGTAGACAGCGAATGATGGTGCCTTCAAACGCGTCCGACATCTTGCAGATCTGCGAGAACTTGGCTCCTTGGCACCAGGCAATGACCACATCCACCAGGTTCGTGTTGAACGCACCCGCATACTCGTCCACGTCGATCGTCATCTTGGCGTCTTGCATCACCTTGGCGATACGCTGCGCCGTCTCACGTAGTTGTCGAACGGGGACCTCCAGACTCTCAGCTTGAGGAGGTTTGTCGCTCTCCTTCTTCTTCTCCGTGTTGATCAAACAGCTCAGCAGCGCCACCGCATCGTTCACCGACAGGTCGTTGAATTGGCCATTGAAGATCATCTCCGTCACCAGCAGCTCGTCCGTCGTCGAGACTTCACACGCCGTACGTCCCTTCCGTTGGATAACTCCTTCTTTATCCACAAACTCCAGTCTCCTCAACACTCGTCGACGACGACGCAAGTCATCACGCAGCACCAGCGACTTGGACTCCTTGATCTTGCGCTCCAATTCGCGCATCTTGGCTTCACTTTCCATCTTCAAATTGTACAATGCAAAGCGCGCTTCCTTGTCCGCTGCATTGTGGAACGGCGAGCTCTTGAGTTGCTTCTCTGCGTCCACAGTCTTCTCAATCACACGCAAGAATTGTTCGTCCTGAATGTCCAAATCTTCACGAGGATCCAGAAGCGGGACACCCTGAGGGAATCGACGTAGCACTTCCTTGACCGACTTGCCCACTGCTTGACGACTCTCAAGAGTACGCAAGTCCTTGGGGATGTACACACGTAGAGACGAGATGAGGTCCAGCATCTCCAATGGGACAGGGCAGATCTTCATCTCGTAAGTCGCACTAGTCGACAGTCCCATCATGTTCTCAGGTGCGGGGGTCGGTAGCTCGGCGACGGTGCTGCCATTCGTGGCGTCATTGCTCGTGACGTTGCTGTTGTTCAGACAGTTCAACAGCACGTGCACTACCGTGTCTGGAGTGGCACAAGTCGAGTCACTGGCGTTCTTGGTCGTGAAGTTGACAATCACACCCCAATCCCACTTGGGTTTACTGGTGCCGTCGTCGCTGTCAGGACTGTAGAGCTTCACCAAGCGCCCTCCATTAAGGAACCGAGTCACGTGGTCCGGTTTGTTGCGGATGGCCAGAAATTCCTCTTTGAGCCGCACCAGAGACCTCGACAAGTAGTAGTACTGCGCCACTTCTTCTTCGTTCTTGATCACGATCTGGTCCTTCTCTTCTTTCGCACGTTCCAGCGCTTCTTCAAGAGCAGGGGCGGCCTGTTCGTTCTGGAATTGATGGAAAGACTGCTTGATCATGTATTCCGGGTCGGCATCTTCCACTCGCATCAAGTTCAGCAGCATATTGTAGCCAAGATGGAACGTACTGAACAGCGGATCTGCTTGACCGTAGAGGATTCCTTTGGCCACTTGCGGTTCCATCTGCTCACTCAGCATTTGGATGACGATACCACGCGCATCAAGCGAGCGACGACCGGCACGTCCAGACATCTGAATGTACTCGCCAGCAGTGATCCAACGGAAGTCCTTGCCGTCATATTTCCGGCAGTTTGTGAACACTACGGTCTTTGCAGGCATATTCAACCCCATAGAGAACGTCTCGGTAGCAAACAGACACTTCAGTAGCCCTTCACCAAAGAGAATCTCGATCACTTCCTTCAGAATCGGCAGTAAACCACCGTGATGGATACCGATACCACGACGCAGTAGCGGTAGAATGGAATCTACTTGTGGTAGAGCACGATCGTCGTCTGATAGCGAGTCCATAGCGTTCTTAAAGAGCTGATCCACCGACTGTTTCTCCTCTTCAGTATTGAAATCCAGCTTGGACATGAGCAACGCGTACGCCTCACACTCCCGTTTACTGAACGAGAAGATAATCACCGGGTCATATTGACGCTCCATGATGAGTTTGACGATACGGAACACGTCGGTGCCCACTTTCTTCTTGGGATTGCTCTTCTGCGCTTTACGTCGCTTCGTGTTACTCCCGTAGGACGCCAATTCTGCAGCTGCGTCATCGGTAGACGCTGACAACGTCGCAATGGCCTTTTGGAAGTTATCTTCGCGGAATTTGCCCTTCTCGTCGACGACCAAGTGGAGGCCACTACCTCCAGCGGGGAAGAGGTAGTGCTGCAAAGGGGTAGGACGGTAGTCTGTGTACACAACGTGACACGGTTGGTGGTGGATGTGACAGATCCAGCCAGCGAACTCCTTGGAGTTGGGGATAGTAGCCGATAGAAACACAAACCGGACTTTGTGTGGCAGTAGAATGATACTCTCCTCCCATACAACACCGCGTTCCTTGTCTCTCATGTAGTGGATCTCATCGTAAATAACCCACGCCACTTCTCGCATGACCTCGGAGCCTCGATACAACATGCTTCGTAGAATCTCCGTCGTCATGATCAGACACGTGGCGGATGGGTTAATTGTGATATCACCCGTCATAAGACCCACATCTCCGAACTCTTCTTCTAAGTCGCGGTACTTTTGGTTACTTAGAGCTTTAATTGGGGACGTGTAGATGACGCGCTGTTTGTCTCGAAGACTTTTGGCAATTGCGTACTCGGCCACAGCTGTTTTACCGGCTGACGTGTGGGCAGAGACCAATACGGACTCTCCAGACTCAATATAGTCCACAGCCTGCTGCTGGAATGGGTCTAGAGTGAATGGGTACGTCTTGGCAGGGTTCTTGGCTGCTGCGCCGGCTGTGGGTTGAGCGTCGTAGTCTGGCGGATACACTGAGAACGAGATGAGGTTCTTCTGCTGCGTGCCGGTGGACACAACGTTTGCAGAGTGTTTGTCGTTGCCTTCGATGGGCGTTGCGTCGATGCGCTTGCCCTCCACGACCTTGAGAGTGGTGGAGGCTAGACGACCGTCATTCTGCTGCTTCTTAGCAGGCGGAGACAACGCCTTGTCGTCATTCGGAGAGGCAACGGGAGCTTCTTTGCGCTTGCTAGAAGTGGAAGAAGCGGCGGCTTGTTCCTCGGCTGTCAGCGTCGCGGACGAGTCGTCGAACGCGCCGAACAAGTCCAGGTCCTCATCCATTGTTGTTGAAAAATGGCTGGAGGTGACAAAATGGTACAAAATAAAAGGTGGACCACATTTATCTAAGTGATCAAGTTGTGAGATCGGAATCAACACGTATACAGATACACGTATACCTCATCCTCATATGGATTGGCCACTCATTTCTAAGATCAAATCGACGAATGGCGTTAGTGCACCCTTAACTACAACAACACGACAGGCTTGGAGCACCTTTAAGCCACTTATGCGCCCTTAACTGCAAGCGTTAGGGCGCCCTAAAGCCTCGGGCGCAAATAACCGTATTTTAAAAAAATTGATGCGAAGTATTGTCAGTTTCATTCGAATTTGTGAGAATAGCCTGAATCGAATCGTTTAGGCGAATCGATTTCGAATCGATTCGTGCTATTTTTAGCCAGTCAGAAGGCTCCAAACGCCCGCCACTCATACCGGCAATGGCAAGCATACAGCAGGCAGTCAATGGGCGTCACGCGTCCAGAAACACCATCATGCACGCCCTGTACGGCTACTTCTACCTGGGCTTGTCGAAACACCGGCTGGCAACGATCTACCACAAGCACATTAACACCATCTCGAACTGGATTCAACGCTTCGAGGCTGACAACGACTACGAGCGCCGCGCTACAAAGCAGACCGGTCGGCTCACAGCAGAACAGCGGGAGTGGTTGCTAGACTTCTACACGATGCACCCGGTTGCATTTCTCGATGAAGCGAAGGCTGCGTTTGAGCAACAGTTCGCACGCTTCATTTCGATCTCAACGGTGTGGAGGGCCTTACATCAGCATGGGCTCACATGGAAGGTTCTCGAACGACGTGCGATGAACATCAAGATCAACGATATTGTGCGCTTCACGCTGGAGCTGAGCACGATTAAGTGGTGTCAAATGAACATTCAGTTCCTCGACGAAGTCAGCTTTGACAACAGGGGCATGCTGCGTTCGCGAGGCTACTGTTTGAAAGGAAAGAAGCTCGCGTTTCGTGGAGAGTTTAATAGGAAAGCTCGGGTTTCCTTGCTGTGTTTCTTATCTGTGGATGGGCTCGTGGAAACATTTCACACGGATGGAACGTTTGACCGATCTAAGTTTATTGAGTGCTGCCGTGCACATGCGCATTCGGAAAAGACTGTACACCAGTATCCAGGAAGCGGCTCCGTGTGGATTATGGATGGTGCCAAGATCCATTGTCACCCCGACATCGTCTACTATCTGCGGTCACTGGGGATCATTCCCATTTTTCTTCCGGCGTATTGTCCATTTTACAATCCGATCGAGTATCTATTTGGCTTGATCAAGAAAGCATTCAAGCGGCAGTACGTCGAAGGGTCCAAGCAAAGTCAAGCTGTACTCATTGCAAATGTACTTCAGCAGTTCCAAGATTTCGACATGACGAATATTTTTGAGCACTGTGGGTGGAGTCTGACCGGCGAGTTTGACCCGACCTCGGCCCTGGGGGATGAGTACGTGAACATATCGCGAGCTGGGCAATTTGGCGTGGACGAATTGCTGGAGTTCTCCGAGCGCGGAGATCCTGATGATGACAATACGTGCTCAAGTGATGACTTCTAAGTTAGTGTTCTGGGAAATGCGTGCTTATTTGGGGTTTGAGTTTAGTGGTACTTGAAAGCAAGAGTCACTCATGGTCGATGTCCTCCTGATTTGGAATGGCGGCTAACACGGACGAGACCTCCGTACTATCTGGTTGTATAACCACGTCCTCACCCATGGCCTCGATAACATCCAAATGGTTCTCCAGCATTTGGTTCATGGAAACGATGGCAGTCTGCAGCACTTGAACTGTTTGCTCGAAGTGCTGAATCTTTGTCTGCATGCCCTGTACGACTTTCTTTGCCATCTTTACGCTGCGCTGCACACGCTGTAAGTGCTGTTCGCTTGAATTTGACGCAGGCCTGAACTGCGTCACTAGATTTGGTGGCGGGCCCTTGGCAATTTCTCGCTCGTGCTGAGGCCTGGGTTTCTTGAGAACGAGTGCGGCCCACAGGCGCCACGACATATCTTGTGCACTAAACGTAGCACCCCATTTCTCCTTCAGAGTAGTGATCATGCGTTGATGGAGCTCTTCTGTTGCAGCACCCCCACGATCGATAGCAGCCGGACCGATGCACTGATCTTCAAAGTCTGCAAACTGGCCAACGGTGGATATCTCATTACCGTACTTGTAAACAGAGAGAATGGCGGGTTCCTCCTTGTGTTTCCGCAAATATTTACGATCTTTAGCACTTGTCCACGGGTTCAGCACCTTGCCGTTCATCTTCAAAGAAGTGTACTTCTCAAACATCACAATTGCTGGTTCATGCTCATCAACCGTCCAGACTGGAGGTGCCCCAGTCGGAATAGCTAGTGGCTTTAACTCGCGCTGGATGATGCCCCAAAGCATGTTTTTCACCTCATCCCATGTGTCACTTTGAACCGCGTGTGTGCCCATCCGCAATCCCGATGTCAGACGCTGATTGACAGTGTTCTTCAACCGTACATCGATTGAGAGCTCGATCAACGGATCGTGCGAAGAAAGCGTCTCACGCTGCTGCTCAAGACGCGGGCTTCGCCTCTGGTAGGGTGAGGAACCCATCTCACGCTGATGTTGAAGATGGGGGCTTCGCCTCTGGTACGACGAGGACGCCACCTCTTGCTGTTGTTGAAGACACGGACTACGCCTCTGGTACGGTGAGGGGCGTGGACTCGGACCTAGAGCTACTCGCTCATGACTGGGATTGCTGTCGTCGAGCAATACCCGTCGAGGAGAGCTGCGCCGGACCGGGGTTGTCAGGCTCACTGCCGAAGAAATACAAAGTGATGCAGGTAAACTCTGATTGATTAATAATGACAGCAAATCGATTCGAAAAACGCCATTTTTTCCTCCTGGTTCTACAAATTATAGCGGAAACGACAATATCACCATAAGCGTTATTGTCAATCTTGTCCGAGATGAAGAAACGCATTAGCACATAGGAAGAAGAAGATGAAAAGCACAAGTAGGAAACGGAAAGTGATATATATATTGTTTAACAAAACCACGAATGGCTACAAGATTATTGTGGAAGCAGCATCTTACTAACCTCTTGGTCCGTCTTCTGCTTTTCCGTCAATTTTTTCTCACTGTGTGGCACCAGCTTCGTCGTGCACAGCAGCAACCAGGCTAGTCTTAAGCGGCATCACGCTTACATAAGCTTCTGTCACCCGATAATTTGCAAATCGATGGGTGTTGCGCAAGTGTGCGTACACAATACCCAGGACCATTACTCCACAGCTTTTTAAATCAGGTTGTGAGGGCTTGTCTATCCACTTCGCGATAATTTCCTTAGGAAAAAGCTCTTTTGCACCGCAGGCACTGTGCCATTTCTCTAGTTATGGCAGCAAATGAAATTACTATCATCTTCCAGCTCTTTTCAGTAGCACTCCTGGTGTAGCGGCTCATAGAAATACACCTTCAGTACATGTATTGTCGGAAACTGTTGTCGTGGAGGGGAATCGGAAAGTGAATTGATGAATTAGACTGAGTGCACTATGTTGAGCTAGAGGAGCGTATACGTTAACAGAAACGCGATCTCCACAATAATGACCCCCCCAGTGGTTCAAACTTAAATTTATGGGCATAACCACAAAAGGTGTCTCTGATAACCGCTGTCTTGGTGGTTCAGGCCACCCAATAGCCAATGTCAACGAAGAAAATGCGATGCAGCCGTCCACACTTTCTGCAATCGTTCTGATTCCGAAATCAATCACGGCGTCGTTCAGCAATCCGTTGCGTAGAACTCCAGAGACAACGTCAAAAAATACGATGACCGTCGTGTTGATTCTGCATTTGTGACAGATTTCGTCATGAAAGTGGCGCGTCTATTCAAAGACACGTGAGAAGGGAATTCTTCGTAGTAGTGTAACTTTACCTATCTCGTGGAGTATGGCTTCTAGCGCCTCACTTGAATCGCTTAGATAGTCGAAGTGTCTTCGTCACTGCCATCGCTACCAGTAGAAGAACAAACGTCCAGCACAGTGACCCTCGCTCTCGCCATCTTTAGCACTGGCGCCTGTGCCAGTGCTTAAGAACTCACGTGGATTATTAAATGATCACAGCAAAACCACTGGCTATCAGACTCGGAATTATCTGAGAGTAACGGTACTTGATGGTAATTTATTTGGGAATATATTTCTCGTGGAATTTCTCACGAAACCTAAACTTTGTGAAAATATTGTTAGGGCGCCGAGCACCCTTATCGGTACTTTTTTATATAAAAAGTTAAGGGTGCACTAACGACTACGCAAATCGACGGTAGCGTACTGCAAGCTGTGCGCTGCCCGCTAGTATGACCCACTCCCTGCCACAAACGGTGGCAGCTGCCGCAGCGATTAAACATATTATGTAGGAGCATCAGTCAACGGTGTGTAGTAGCGAGAAGTGGGCCAATTCGGCAAAGAGGTCTTCCAGTTCGGCTAGCACCTCAATCAAGCAGCACCAGCCGCGAGAAAGTGGCCACACTCGTTGCGTCCCCGTTTTGAGCAATGATGTCACCCTCGCCAGGGCGGAAGTGGTGCCGCCACCCGGAAGGACACAATTAGCTTATTTGGACGAGTACCTAAGAAAATATATGGCTAACACGTACCAGGTAATGAACGCGGTGCTCTGGTTTGATTTAAAAGCCTCATTTTCATGAACGTTATGTACATTGAGCTTCCGCGCTCACACACAAACAAAAAGGTGGCGGTGAGAGCAAGAAAAGCTAAATTGCAGTGACTAAGACGCTGTAGTGCAAAACGACTGGGGTTCTGCCTCGACTACAGCATTGGAAAAATCAAGAGAAACAATGCCGCTTGGACAAGCATTAGTTGCATTCTTATCGACAAGGACTTTGGAGAGATTAACGCTTTGAAAAGGGCATTTCCAGACGCAACCCTACCGTTGTGCCAGCTTCACGTGTTAAAATAGCTACGGGAGCAAGTTACGTCTGAGGATTGTGGATTTACGGATTGCTAGAAACAGCAGATGAG